CACTGCCTTATTTAAGGAACCAATGTCCTGTCAAAATCAGTACAAAAGGTGGAAGCACTATAAAAAAAAAAAAAAAATCCTCCCCTATTTCTCAGCTAGTACAATATGTTGGAGTGGAGGTTAGCCTTGTTGTGCATTTTTCAGATGCTTCCAAAGAGCTGCCCAAAATGACACCAAGCTCAAATGATTTGCCCCTGTGCTGCTGCAGCTTTATGTGTACTGAAAGCACTGGGGGTCTGTTAATAATAAAATTAGAATGAAATAGAAACAAATCATACACTGTTTCTTGCTGACATGATGACATGTAGTTTCTTTTTGATTCTATTACTCTCTTGCACTAGCCAATATAAAAATTTTGCCAACATGTTTTTCACAACACAGATTACCAATAACTGCCTAACTCCATTTCTGCTTACAAACTTAGTAACAACATGCTTACATAAAGTGGACTATGATGGTCACATCTTCAGCTGCATCCTGGCATAGCTCCAAATGCATAGCTGTTGACTTCATGAGGATTTGGATGCAAACTTAAAGTTAAGCCCATGCTTAACTGCTTTGTCAATCTGTCTCTCTCTCCCCCTCTCCTCCTGCTGTTACTATCATATAACATCTATGAAATCTAGCTCATGCTGGCATATGAATGAATGTTCAGGTATTTCTATACACTCCTTGTTCACAAAGCTGTGGTTGATTTACTCGTTTCAAGCCTGAAGAAAAGACTGCATCCACTGTGACTTCCAGAGTGCTGTGAGCGTGTCTGTGTTTATCTGTTCTCTAAGGTCACGTGTGGGCCTCTCATCCAAGCAAAACTTCCGTAAGAAGGGAGATTGCATTTCAGAATAAAACCTTCTCTGGGATTCTGTGCCAAAATTCATTCAACTGCTTTTTCTGGCAGTTGTAAATTAAGTCATTTTTTTGTTTTTTGATTTAAATAATTTAGATGTATCAATAACTTCATGAACATTTCTTCATTGTATTTAAAAACATTTACAGCAAAATACTACATCAGTAATAGCAAAGATTTAGAAAGTGAGTTGTATAACTACTATCGTATATAATCTCACATACAAAACAGAAGTTATTACACAAAGGAAGGTATAATAAAATTATGCCTGTAGGCAGTGGCTTTCATAAGAGCGTAAGTTTTTCAAATGCTTAATAAACTAAGAAATTTTACCAGAAATGTAACCTTGTGTTTATGTGTTTTATGTGCATTCTTCCCCAAAACAGCATTCAGCTACAATAAGGTTTAGTTGGGCATTTATACGTGACCACGTTAATGAATGTGACATTTGACTGTCTAGAGAGCTGTGGATATATTTAAACAAAAGGGTTTATAATTGCTTTAATTATTGTAATAAATCAGAGCTAAGTGATAATATTGTCATAAATTAGAGGGGAAAATATTTTAAGCAAACATTTCCTTAAATTTTATCTCCTAAAAAGTTGGACAGCATTTCTGTGTATCTCTTCATAGTTTGGTATTTGCTAGATGTAATGTTGTTTCCCCTGGCGTATGAGTTCTCTAAGGCAAGGGAGAACAGAATCAAGAAATAAACATCTGACCATGTCACAAATCCAATTAACTCTGACAAGGGCTAGTAAAGTCAAGTGAATAACAAAGCACTGCTGTCTGGAAGCAGCTTTGCAGACAGTAAGACACCAGCTGGACGAAGCAAAAGTACTTCAGGCAGCTGAATTTTCTGCCTCCACTAAGACCATCTTATTACCCCAGTGAGGTCACAGCGCTGTAGCATTTTCAAGTGTCACATCTCATCTCTTCACTGTTTCTAAGTGGCAGGGAGGAGGAGGAGGGAAGCATTCCCCTCACAGAATGTAAAATATGTGCTAATGTCATTACAAGGTAATGCAGCAAAGCAGAAACTGCAGCAACCATTGCACAGCCTCTCCTCAACCACCACCACAGCTTTGGGTTATGATAGAAAACTCCAAGACATTTCAGTGCAGCAATCCTTGGGCAGAAATCCTGGTGGTTTTCTAATCCCAAGGCCTGTGCGTATTCAAAGTAGCTCTCCTTTTTCTAGCTCTTGACACATATAGCTAACCAATGTCCCATTTAATGGAACTGAATGATTAAATGATTGCTTCACTGGTCTGCTGTGTTCATCCATGCTTGAGACTCAGAAATGTGGGGGAATTTCTCATCTGGACTGTAGCAGTGTCAGTCTAGAGACATTCTTTGCCAAAGTTATTTTGGGTTTATCTTGAGAGGAGAATCCACTCCCTGCCTGTCTGACTGGAAATTGAAATTCTTCACTGCTTGTTTCCAGATAGAAAGGAAATATGTGCTCCGTTTACTTTATCTGTGTAACCCAAACAACACAATGTTACCCTTGGAATCTTTTCTTGCTCTAACCTATTTCCCTGTCAGGCAGTATCCTTAAGTGAAATGCTTTCCATTTACACTGTAGTAATGGAAGGAATCTTAGACCCATATACAATACTCAGTATTTTTACTGTTAATTGTCAACATTATTTGCAGCTCCTAATAAGCTATTTTCTAATTGCCAGAAGAGTCAAATATATAGTTTGTCAGCTTTAACATGGGTTACAAAACTGAAACAAACAGATATCCTCAGCTTTGAGATGGAGGAAGGAATATTTCTTAGGAAGCAACATGAGAATTGGGGTTAGCTCATAACTCACAGCTAGTTTGTGTCTGAAATTTCCCAGCACTTTTCTAATAGTCCTATTTAACTGAAAGTAAAATTATATTAACTTCAGCAAAATTTTCCAAAGAGAGATTTCTTTAGTTCAGAATGGAATTTCTGGGTTCTGGAAACCAGAAACAAATACACACAATGACTCAGTGATTAGGTTATTCAATTACTAGATTTAGAGCAGGAAACTGAAACTGTTTCCCCTCTTCTAATTCTACATGTTTCTGTGCACTGCATCTTTTGAATCTTCCTCCCTCCTGCCCCAAGGAATACTTGTTAATCTTGGAGCTGGTCCAAATTTTCTTGATACTAAGAAATTAACACGGAGTGAGATGGGTAAATTGAAGTGTCTGAAATCAGAAAAAGGAGCAAGGAAACAAGGAAAGAATAAAAATATGCAGGATTGCTTCTACAGAAAACTAAAAATTAAGCATATCATCGTGCTTGTACATTTTTTAAACTGCATTGAAACTTGATCTTCTTGCTACAACGTTGGACACAAATAGAATTTAGCAAATGGAGATATGCTGTAGAAGTAGCACAGGCATATGCTGACATACGATTACCATATGTCAGTCCACAGTGATTCTCGAGCTCCTGAGACATGTTTTGTTCTTTAAATAGTTTTCCATCTTTTTAACATTTTGAAGCACATAGACTATCCTCATTATGCTTTTTTCCTGCCTCCTTTGAAGCCACATGCATTTACAACTGACTTAGATTAGGCAGGGAGGACAGATAGAAAGAAGCTAAAATAGCTTTCAGAAATTACTACTGCAGTCAAATATATTTGGAAATTCAAGAGTCAATATGAACTGTTGAAATAAAGTCTACATTAATCTTTATAAATAAAGAAAACATATGGGTTAGGATTTTTGTCCTGCATTCATCCAGGATCACATGCAGTATTTTGTTCCTGGGATGTAACACAGCAAGTTAAAATTTAATTAAAAAAACCGACAAAACCCCCTTTGTATTTAATCATGTATCATTAAAACCTGAGGTTTTGACTTGAACTGGAGACTGTCTGAGTCAGAACCTCACAGACTCACACAGAGAACATAGTAGCTGCCAACAGGGTATTTCCTGTTGCTTTTCACAACAAACAAAAAAGGAATATCTCAGTATGATCTGCAGATGTGCAGCATGATGACATTTAGATGCAAGTTTTACAGAGGCCTACAATCTTAGGCAAATAATATATAAAACCCCCTCCTATTTCTTAAAAAAACAACTCCATCACTAAAGACTTAACATCTTTCAACAAATTGTGTGGCAGTCTTAGATTTCTAAGCTCCTAGAAGTTTTGGAGGAAAAAATACTTCAAATTTACTCAAATGCTTGTGAGAGCTTAAAAAAAAAAAAAAAAAAAAAAAGGAAAAATAACGAGAACATACATAAAAATTCTACTGCACACTGTTAAGGTAGAAAAACTGTACTGAACACATTTTTTGGCTTCTGCAACATCTCTTATAGGCTTTATAAGCAAAATAATTTGTTTCCTTAGTGAAAAAAAAAATTGCTTTATACTTCTCAAGAGAGAAATAATCTATTTCTGAATGTCTGGAGAAATGCTGAGAATAATAACTACAACAAACAAGTCATTAGGAAGAATTTACCTTTTCAGTGCCTGGAGACATAATATAATTTCCTAATAAGCTCCAGCCTCCTAGTTGTTGCAAACCAAAGAAATCCAGTATTAGAGTTTCTTACTAAGTGTGCATATCAGCTTGGGCCAGCACAGGAAGAATTCTTAAGGCTGGGCTGAAAGAACCAATGTTTCCTCAAAGCCTCTGATTCATCACAAGTACATTTGCTTTCTAGTTCTGTGTCTTAAAAAGGGTCAAACAATGCTCTGCAATGTTGAAGGGCACAAAGTAGTGCCTGACACATTGGACATAAACACATACATCATGCAGACATCCTCCTGTTAGGAATAAATCAATTCCTGCTTGCACTAAAAGGCACTGATGTAGTCACAAAATGTTTTAGAGACCTTTTACTCCTAACTGGGTAACACTGGAAATTTTGCCCCTCTGCAAGTTATGGATTGGGTCTGAGCATACTTTTGTTGAAATAAAGGTACTCCAGTCAATTTGAGAGTTGAACTGGAAACCAAAGTTCTATAAAATTGGTGCTGGCCTTCTCTACAGGAAGGTAAACAACTCCAAATGTATGCTGACATGTGAATAGTTCTCCTCCCACAACCTCTTTGTTTGCCAGAGTAATTGTAATTGGGTGGGCAGATTTCTTCTGGATGACATCAGAAGAGAAAAATGAAGATTATATAAAATCATGTTTTGTTTCTTGTCCTAGGAAAGCCTTACATGGCACAATTTGGATGATGTCTGCCTATTACCAGAAAAAGATAATGATGTGAGAGCCAAATGAAAGGACAACACATAATACCATATACAAGGAAAATCAGAGGAGATCTTGAGTGAGCAAAGAAGATGTACATGATGGAATTATTTACCAGGTACTATAATATGAAGAAAATCAGAGCACCTCTTCTCAAAAGGGAATTACAGAAATTAATTGAGGATATTGTGGCATCATTTCTTTAAATCCCTTATGTTCCACGGTTCCCTGTTCCTCAGTGGCACCCCCTTGCTCTCAGAAGTTTTGCACCCACTTGTTCTCTTTCCACATCCCAACATCCTGTCTGTCTAAGTTTCTCTCCTAGGCTCAGCATTTCTATCTGGCTGTGAACAAAGCTGTCACAGTGGTAAACACTGTCAGAAAGATATCCTGTCTCCTTTTTTTATATGTGAAAGCAAGGGGTAAGAAGGGTGTACTCGAGGTGTTTTCCTGGCACTGCTACAGTGCCTGGAGGGCAAAGGCTATTCCTCCTCCCCTGCACCACCAAGCAATTCATGTTCCAGCACCAGAGTGAAGAGCAGGATATGAAACAAGTAAAACAGTGTCACTCAAAACCTGGAGGAGTGAGAAAAGAGGGCTTCCTTCTGCCTGTGAAGTTTTTATGTACATAATGGAGACTGGTGTGAAACATGTCTATGGGAGACAGGTGAGAGGGGAACTTACTGCTTCTGAGATGTCCTGTGGTCGAGGGAGTTTTGTGAGAGAGCTTTTTTTCAGGGAGTTTCAAAATAGGTGATGATGATGTGCAGTACTGGGCCAGTTCCCACCAGATGCAAAATAAGTTCTGTGTGAGAATATACTGAAGCTGTGAGGAACCTCAGCCCCTGCAGTTTACAGCTGTCAATCTGCTCCTGCTGCTCTGAATGACTTGCTAAAGTAAGCACAGCCTCTGCAGGTTTATTCACTGAGCACACACAGAACAAATATATGCAATGCACAATAATTTTCCAGGAAAATATATTCCATAGCACTCTGAAAGTAAAAATACTGTATTTAAATGAGATTCACAGCAGCATGTTTTATTGACTGAGACACAGATTCAGAAAAAGAGGATTACCAAGCTGAGACTAATAGCTACATTCAACATACTTACGCTAGTTTATATTGTAAACAAGAATTCCACAGGCCCAGCAGAAAAGTACCTGGGGGCGTTGGTTGACATCCAGATGAACATGAGCCAGCAGTGTTCCCAGGTGGCCAAGAAGGCCACTGGCATCCTGGCCTGTAAAAGAATTAGTGTGGCCAGTAGGACCAGGGCAGTGATTGTCCCCCTGTGCTCAGCACCTCAAGTTCTGTGTTTAGTCTTTGGCCTCTCACTGCAAGAAAGACCTTGAGGTGCTGGAGCGTGTCCAGAGAAAGGCAAGAAAGGTTATTAAGGGTCTGGAGCAGAAGTCCTCTGAGGAGCAGATGAAGAAGCTGGGAGTGTTTAGCATGGAGAAGAGGAGGCTCAGGCAGGACGTTATCGCCCTCTACAATCCCCTGTAAGGAGGCTGTAGCCAGGAGGAGGTCAGCCTCTTCTTCCAGGCCCAGTGACAGGGCAAGAAAAAATGGCCTCAAGCTGCACCAGTGGAGGTTCAGGTGGGACATCAGGAAGAATTTTGTCACGGAAAGGGTTGTCAAGCATTAGTACATCCTGTTGCTCCTGGCACTGGAGTCACCATCCCTGGAAGTGTTCAAGAAATGACTGGATGTGGCACTAAGTGCTATGGTTTAGTTACATGGTGGTGTTTGGCCACAGGTTCACCTTGAAGGTCTTTTCCAACCTTAATGACTCTTTCTTAATGATCATTCCATATTTAAACATGCCTTGTTTTATTGGACAGTGCCACCTAGGGGGTAATGGCTTTTAAACTAGAGTGGCAAAGGAGAGGGAGCTTTAATAATAACATAGAAAACATTTCTTCTATTAAATTCTCTTTTGGAATATACTAGGCAAACAAAGTGCTGCTGAGATTTTCATACTGTGGAATCTGGCAAAAGCATGTAATTTTCACAGGTCCCTTTGGAGCTGGTCATACTCTTTTCTCTCTTCCATAGCCTGGCAGTGATTGGGGATGCCACAAATCCTGATTTTCTCCTCTGCTAGCCAAGTCTTGCTGGTATGATCAGTGGAGAGGTTATCTACATCTCATTACAGCTGCAAGGCTGGCTAGGCGATTGCTGTATTGCTGTGTTTGGGTCTCCAAGAACTTGAAACAGAGCCTTGAAAAGTTTGCTTTTTGAGGCCAAAAGCAGAGAGAAAACCTGGTCTACTTCTGCTTAATCTAGTCTGCTAAAGGAAGATAGTGTACAAGGCAGGAATGTTGTTGAGATGTTGAGACTACTCTGTCTGAGAGCAGATAGGTTTTATTGCTCCTGACACTTCCCCCACTGTCCTTGAAATTACTAGTTACAGTTGGCTTCTTTGGGCTTCTAACAATTTAACTTAGAAATGGGCAAAAGAAACTTAGAAAAACTGCCCATCTCTGTACCATGTTTATTTTCTTCAGAATGAGATTTGTTTTAAAAGCCTGAATTGTGGTAAATTCTTTCCTGAAAAAACTAAATTCCAAGAGAGTTAATATTTTAGAAGTATTTTTTTCCTACATACTTTTTTTATTCTCACAAATGGTATTTGATTTTATTCTGTATCTTCCACAGCAGATGGCGTGCCCGCCTCCCTGAGACCAGACCCAAGCAGAATGCAAATGATACAAGAAACTTGTATAACATAGAAACAATAGTATAACATAAGAAACAATTATTCAAGAAACCTGCTCCTCTTTCCTTACAGGAAAGTAGTGAAGCTATCACAATATTTTTGAAGGAAAAATGTCAACATTTTTGATTGCATGACTGTGTGTTTGACTTGTAATAAAGGGCAGGTCTCTTCCTTTCCTTCAGTAAGCTCCACACACATAAGCAATTGAGTATTAATAAGAAGAGATTTTATTTAAGTTCCTTTTAAAAATAATCCATACTGAGAAAAAAAGGCCAGCTGATAAAAATTACTTTGTCTGCCCCCTAGAAATGGAAAAAGAGAAATTATTTTGGAACTACAAGCTGCAGACATGGCAAAATGATGATGGAAGTTATACCAAAGCTTGCTGTAAGTACCTCTCAGGTAAACAAGTCCTGTGGTAAAATTATGGCATGATGGATTGTCTTAGGTTGCAAGACGTGGCTGGGGCTGTGTATTCTATTGCCATCTGTTAGAGGTGGGGCAGTTATCTACTGTTAATTGGGCCACCTGTCAAAAGCAGCTTTGGCAGTTTTCTTTATCTCTTCCATGGCCTCCCTCGGGGATATATCTGCTGTTAATGGGCCATTGAGTCTCACTGCATGACTGATAAAAATTACATCATCCCACTGTGAGATGCTTTGCCCAGGGGGAGGAGCCAAGCATTCCTACCTGGATATAATCTGATATTTGGAACACCACAGCCAGCCTTTTCCCACTAGATTCCCAGAGGAAGACCAGGTCCATCTACACCACCACTGGACCATCAGAGGAAAACTACACCCTTCTACAGGATCACTGCTTCAACAGAACCACACCTGTCACTCCAGGAGGACTGCAGCCACCATTTAATGGGACTGCTACCAACACCCTGACCAACAGGGTGTCAGTGGCTTTTTTTGTACTATTGCATTTGTATTTTTAATTTTCCTAGTAAAGAACTGTTATTCCTGCTCCCACATCTTTGTCTGAGAGCTCCTTAATTTAAAATTATAATAATTCAGAGGGAGGGAGTTTACATTTTCCATGTCAAAGGAGGATCCTGCCTTCCTTAGCAGACACCTGTATTTTCAAGCCAAGACATGGAAAAAGCAAACTCTTACTGTCCTCTAGATGTCACGATGTGGAAGAGGAGCAGCTGGATACCAGGGCTGCCACAACTGAAGCTAAATAGGTTTTGACATGATTGTTAAAGAAAAGCTACAGTACGGCACGGCAAATTCACCGCAGTGCCCATCCTGATGTGACATGCTCTGGAGCAAGCAGGCTCCTGCTCAGGCACTGGGAATAAACACTGGACCAAGCCTGGGAGACAGAGACATGGACATTCACATCAGGTCCACATTGGCCATTCTGGCTTGGTCACTCAGCATAGATTTTTGGTGACTTCCTTGTTTTGATAAAAGCAGAGAGAATATGCAGTTACACTTGTAGCACAGTGCTCTTCCCTTTACAGGTTTTATTTCTTACCAAAACAGCATGGTTTTTACATATATATGCACATATAAATAAACAGAATGGCAACATTAATAAATAATTACACTTTTAAATATATACACATTAGGAGTACTTGCTATTGCAACTTGCAGATACTCACAAATACATACAGGTCTTGTCCAACTTCTTACAAAAGAAGATACAACAAATTCAGAGACTTGGAATAAGATATGTAAGAATATGAATTGTGTGATTATTTATCATATATGTGTCTAAAAGAAAGCCTGAAGATCAGAGTTGAGTGAAGATGAATTGAAGAAGCGGTGATAAACAGTAAGTTATTAGACATAATTTGGAATATTCAGAACTTCAATTACAAAATAGGAAGAATCATCCTGCTCTTCAATCTTCCTGTTCCTTTTCAGAATCCTTCATGTTACAGGGCCTGGCTCATTAAAAGCTGTGATTTAAAGGAGTTCAGAGCTGGTATGTGTTAGAGTGCATTTCTTCCCAGCTGTTTCCCTGTGTTAAATTTTTCCTTACCTACAAACCTGACCTCTCTGAGAGGCCTGATAGCAGAGTTAGGGACAATACTGTCACTGGAGGCCACTGCAAGAAGACTGCTAAGAAATCCTGCATCCACTGAATCCCTGTAGCTGTTGACTTTCCAAGGACAACTTTCCCCTAACATGCAAGAGGCACGCCACAGGTGCAGTGTGCGTGAGACACTCTGGGCTGTCTTGACAAGTGTTGTCTGCTGGCAACGAGACAAAAACCTTACAAACTAAAGCCTCTTAATCAGAACTGAGTGTATCTACGCTTGCTGTCACAAGTAGGAAAACAAGATGATGCTTAACAGGAATAAATGAGGAAGGAGTGGGGGAAGGGGGAGAACCACATCAGGAGAAATAATAGAAGAAAGTGTTCCCATATCAACAGATAACTGTCGGCTATCACTGTGGAAGCAGTGTCTGGCAGGGACCCCACAGTGACACAGAAGAAGCACAGTGCATGTCGATGATGGCCATTAAGGGTAACTGTCCCTGTGTCTGTGGAGCCTGACTCCAAAGAACAGAGACACAAGGAACTTTTTGGTGCTTGAAGGGGACATCCCTGGGGTGCCTTCTAACCTCATCCTACTTCCTGTTGTAAATATAACCATGAGAGTTCAAAAGAGAACCCCCTACCTGGCTCCTCTGCACTCATCCACAGAGTCTATGCCCAAGAGTCAGAACAAGAAGTGGCTGCTCAGCCTGCTAAGATACATCGTAGCAAAGGTGAATGCTAAAATACTATGTATAGCAGATCCAAGTAATAACAGAATCACAGAATCCATTACCTTGGACAAGCTCTCTGAGATCAGAAAGTCCAGCCTGTGACTGAACACCAGCATGTCAACCAGACCATGGTATTAAGTGCTATGTCCAGTCTTTGCTGGGGCAGCAAGTCTATTGCTTCCCTGAGCAATCCATTCTAACGTTTAATTGCTTTCTCCATGAAGAATGATGCCCAACCTCCCCTGGCACAGTTTGAGGCTAGTCCTGTCACAGGTTGCCCAGGAGAAGAGCCTGACCTCCCTTTCACTACACCCTCCTTTCAGGCAGTTGTGGAGAGTAATAAGGTCACTCCTGAGCCTTCTTTTCTCCAGGCTAAACAACCCTGGTTCCCTTGGCTGCTCCTTGTTATCCTCTAGACCCTTAGCCAGCTTCACTGACCTTTGCTGGACCCACTCCAGAACCTTTTTGTCCTTCCGGAATTGAGAGGCCTGGAACTGGACACAAACACTTAAGAATCTTTAATATTCATGATAATGCCAGTGCCATTTATCCCATGTCTGTTACTTGAATAAGAAATATAAGAACAACCATTAAAAAGGCTAATTGGGGTCCTCAGTGTGATGAGGGTTTTGTGCCCCTGCCCAGGCTTTGGGTGTGCAGTGCCCAAACAGCCACTTAGGAAGGAATGTGGGATGTTGGCACTGAGCCTGCACCGGGCACTTATTGCCATTGATTAGTATGGTGAGAAGCGCCTTAACAACACTTTAGATCGTCCCCCTGATAATGCACATGAACTAGAGAATACATTGAACAGAAGCCTCCAGGTCACCGCTATTGCTCTGGAGGGGATCACAGAATGGGTCAGGCTGGGAGGGACCACAGTGGATCAGCTGGTCCAACCTCCCTGCTCAAGCAAGACGATCCCAGAGACACTGCACAGGATTGTGTCCAGGGGGTTTTTGAATATCCCTGGTGACGGAGGCTCCTCAGCCTCTCTGGACAATCTGTTAAGGTGCTTAGTCACCCGCACAGTAAAGAAGTTCATCTTCATGTTCAGGTGAAACTTCCCACGGATGAGTTTCTGCCCGTTGCCTCTTATCCCATTGCTTGGCACAACCGAGCAGAGCCTGACGCCATCCTCTTAGCACCCCACCTTTAGATATTTTAGATATCCATTATGAGAGCCGGCACGTCTCAGTGGGGTAGAAAGGACAAACCCGGTTCGAGACAGCGGCCGGCAGCTGCCGGCGAGCTCCGTGCCGCGGGAGCACCGCGCACCGCCGCACCCCGGCCCTCACACGCCAACATGGCGGCCCCGCCTCGCTCACCTCTCCCTCCCCCCCGCCGCGTCCTGCCGTCACATCCGCGGTGCCCCAGCAACCACCGGACGTCGCGGGCGCGCCGGGAACCCGGAAGCGGCGGGCGAATCGGGGCGGGCGGCGCAACCGGCGGGGCGGGCCCGGCGCGCGCAGGGCAGCGGCAGCGGCAAAGTAGCGCCGGGGGCCAGCGGCCGGTTGGTGGCGGCGGTCGGGCAGCGCCTGTGGCGCAGCGCGCGGGGGACTCTCGGCAACTACCGGCGAGCTCGGGCTGCGCGGTCCCGCACGGAGCAGCGGCCGAGGCGGAGATGGCGGCGGACAAGGCTGCGGGTGAGTGCGGGGGGAGCGGCCCCGGCCCCGCCGTGCCCGCCCCCGGCCTGCGCCGCCCGGCGCGGAGGGACACGCGCCTCCGGGGGAAAGCCGCCTGTGCGGCTGTGTGCCGTGTCCTTCCGCCGAAGAGGTAGTGCCCCGCGGGCGCGGGGCCGCTGTGAGGGGCGCCTGTGACACCGGCGGGTCACCGGCGGGGCCGTGTGCGCACCGGGCCCTCCGTGCCCTCGGCAAGCGGCGCTGAGCTGTTGCCCCCTCCTGGCCGGGAAGAGCTCGGTGGGGAGGGCCCTATGTTCGTATTGGGGCCGGGGGGTGTTGTGTGTTTGTGTCACTCAGAGCTTAATAACCCCTACAGAAGTCGAGCTTCTGGGTTAATTTGTTAAACGGGGGCATGCGGGAGGTACGAGGGAGGTTGTAACTCTTGGTGGTGCTGCTTAATCGCTGGAGTTCAGTCTGATTCCCTCAGGGGTGCTGCTTTGGTTTCAGGGGATGAGTGCGTCCTCACTGAACTCGGGCCTGAAAAGACACTGCAGAGAGAAATCAGCGAGACTAAAACATGGGCCATGTTCTGGTACACAGACAGAATAAATCTCAAATACAGTTGCTGGGTAGCACTGCTAAACTACTGCTCGTCCATCTCCTGTACAGCTCCCCGTCATGTAAGAAGCCTTCATTGCAGGAAAGGTCATGCCGTCAGATGTCAGCTTGTGGGGGGATGGAGAAGGGTGATGTGGAGGAAAGCCTTACTTATAGAATTGTATAGGTCTGCTTAATATGAGTGTAGGCTGTCCTGAGTTGGAAGACCAGTAAAGATTAACAAATTCCAGTTCCTGGCCCTGCACAGGACATCTCTAAGAATCACACCATGCGCCTGTGGGTGTTTTCTGCACACTTCTTGAACTCTGTTGGGCTTGTGCCAAGTGGGGAACCCATTTCAGTGCCCAAACACTCTCTGAATGAAGAACCTTTTCCTGATATCCAGTCTAAACCTCCCAGACAGAGCTTCATGCCATTTCCTTCTCGTTTCTGGTCACCTTTCTTTTCTAGTTGTTTTTGTGTGGGGGAAGCATTATTTTAAGTCATCTTAAGCATTTTTTTCTGTGGATGCTAAATATGAAATGCCTCAGTATTTGGGAAAAAAATTACAGGGCAAATAAGTATACTGCACTGAGTGATGTTTACTAAACTGTCATGTGTTTGTAAGAACTGTAAGTGACTGCTAAACTACAAGAAAAAAAATTGGCATCAAGTTTTTAATACTTTTTTGTTGATGTTCTTTGAAGTGTTGAAGGAACTTTTCAGTTTTACTTTCTTAGAAGTATGTGCAAAATTAATCAAAGATGTGAGATATGGCAAGATATTCTACATGCTGCACTAGTTCATAGCAGCGAGCTATAGGC